CCTTGCGTTTCTTGTGCAGTTGACGCAGGTAGTCCAAGGGAATGTATTTCCGGGTGTTTAGACCTCTCAACGGTGCAGTGCTAGGCGGTATTCCAGTGTGAGCTTACAGTCAGATCAGGAAGGTATTTCTGAGTTCTCTGGAGGGCACCCTTCGTGTCTGTTCCTTAAAGAGCTGCCCCAGCTTTCGGCACTCACCACACTCTAGTGTAAGTGGCTTTTAACCTGTTTCTGCCTCACTAGGGCTCAGATCTGTCTCTCTGGCTTCTTAGGGGCAAGGATTTTTACTGACGGCTGGGCATATAGACCCTGCATGGTGCTGAGCAGCCCTGATGACCCAGCCTGCCCTTCCTCACTGAGACTAAAGCAGATGGGATGGACCCGGCAGGACCTTTGGAGCTCTCAGGGAGGAAGGTCCTATATGAATAGAAGGTGATAGTGTTGACGGCTGCAGTACTGATTGCTTTCCAGGGCCGGATTCATAAGTTATTAAGTGACCGTCCAGTGCTTGACTCGAACTGTGTCCCTTTTTCATCCTTTTATGTTTTAATAACACATCCCTAAACCAGCAGGAAGAGGTTAAAAGAGGAGGTGAAATGCACACCAGTAGTCTTTCTTGCGTAATTAGCATCTCCTTAAACAGTCTTTGACTGTTGGCATCCTTTGTGTTATTCTTAAGCTCCCCTCAGTGCCAGCTGTAACCTGCTTGAGTTTCTGGTTGTATCGCGAGTACCATCTAAGGGTGCTTACTACAGGCTTGTTAATGCCCAGATGAATCAAAAGGAATCATCCTTTTGATTCATCTGGGATGATAACTAGTAGTGAAGTGACGATTTTCTGGGCTCCACCCTTGTCCCTTGGTGTGGGAATGCACTTTTATGGCCTATCTTTGCTGATGGCATCTTGGAGCGGGGATAAGCTGCACTTTATGTTAAGCAGATTTGGGAAAAGGTTGGGTGTGTCAGCTAGACTGGATTGTGTTGTGTATTTATATATATATATATATACACCAATTTGTGAGGATAAACTTCATTTGTAAGGGCAAACACTAATCACAGGTAGCCCTGGAGCTGAGGAACAGCTTTGATTTTTGGTAAAATTTGTGTGTTATGTATTTTAGGAGTCTCCTGGACTAACCATGGAATAAGTGATACATCTTCTATGTTAAGTTTCTGTTGTGTTAGTGCCAACTGTCTGCATGTGACATTTAGAGCCTATGAAGTCTCTGTGGTTTTGCAGGGAACTCAGCACTGTCCCTGAGTCAAGTCTGCCTCCTAGGAAGTTTAGCCTAGACCCTCAAACCCTGGACTTCCCCTCAGCTAACCAGAGGATAGAACTCTGTGCTTCTCTGGGACCAGCAGATGGTGGAATGGTTACATTGCTGAACTCCCATGTAGTTGACCACGGTTCAAGTCCTGGACCTGGTGGCTTAAAACTCAAGCTGGGTGCGAGTGCATGCATGCCTAAGATCAAGAGAGGAGAACAAGGAAGGGATTGTGGCGTATCCATTCCCCCAGGGGGTGATTTAAAGAACTCTGTGCTTCTCATGTGGAGTGCTGAGAAGTTGTCTTTTTGCACCTTTACAGGTATGTCAAATAGGGAATTCAATCTTGGAAACCTTTGAAGGTCTTAATAGTGGGGCAGACTTGCCCTGGATTTTTTTTTTTTAAATTATTTATTTATTTATTTATTTTAGGTTTTCGCTATAGGGTGCGTGTGCTTGCCAGACAGACAGAGAGAGACATAGAGACAGAAAGCGAGAAATCACCCCCCAGGGGGGATGGTCACGCTGCAATCCCTTCTCCTCCATTCTCCTCTCGGGATCTTGGGCATGCACGCACACGCGCCCGGCGTGAGTTCTAAGCCACCGGGTCCGGGACGTGAACCGCGGTCGACTACGTGGGAATCCAGCAACATAGCCATTATGATAACTGCTGGTTCCCTTCCCTGGATTTTGTGTAGTTTTCTGGAAAAGAGCTTTCCATGCTTTGCCCCGGAATGAGAGATGGGAACTGGGTTCTGACCCATGGTGTCTAGAGGGTTAGGCCTGTGGTGTTGGGTAAATCACTTATCCTTTCTGAATCTCAAAACAGGAGAACTTCACCTGTTCTTTGTGCCTTGCTAGGCTGTGAGGGTCACGATAACAAAGAGACGGTGCCTCCAGATAGTAAAGCATGGTGTAGGTGGAGGGTTTGTATCTGTCCAAGAGTATAATACACGTCCCTTGTCTAAAATACCCAACCATGCAGAAAAACATTTAAAATAAAAAGTAAAAAGCCCCCCCCCCACCTTTCTGCTCCCACCAGAAATAGGGAACTGCTGTTCACCATTCGTCATGTGTCCTTTTTGTATATTTGTAGACATCCCTTAACATGTAGCACTTAAAAACACACACACACCCAAACACAAAAAGCTCAGTGCTAACACATTCTGTTCTTTAGCTTACTCTTTTCATTTAATGAATCACCAGGAGTAGATTAGTTCTGTGGGGGCCATGGAGGATTCTAGTAATGGCCTCTGCCCCAGCTTAGAAGGCTCGTCGAGGGCTGGCTCCTTGGGAGGGATGGTGAAGCTACTAGGGGTTCCCACTATAGCAGGCACTCTTGTTTGTTTATTTGTTTTGTTTTTAAATTCTGGAATGAAATTGTCTGGCAGTAGCGTCCTTAACTAGGAATCAGGTAGCATGAAGTAACCATTCTGGATCCTGCATGGGTTTGAGTCCCCGACCTGGCAACTTGGAAATCACTCTAGTCTTGGGACCAGCAGATGGTGTAATGGTTATATTGCTGGATTCCCAAGTGGTTGACCACGTTTCAAGTGGCTGAAGTTCCCTGATTCCATGACTTAAACCTCATGCTGGGCGTGCGTGTGCGTGCGCGCCCAACATCAAGAGAGGAGAATGGAGGAGAAGGGATTGCAGCATGGCCATCCCCCCGGGGAGTGATTTCTCGCTGTCTCTCTCTCTGTCTCTCCAGTGAGCACTGGCACCCTGTAGCAAAAATCTCTCTTTTTTAAAAAAAGAAGAGGGACCAGCAGTTGGCGTAATAGCTATGTCGCTGACTACCATGTAACCGACCGCGGTTCAAGTCCTGGACCCGAAAAGAAAAGAAAAAGGGAATCATGCTGGTCTTCTGCGAGCATGCCCAAAATCCTGAGAGGAAACTGGAGAGGGATTGCAGCATTTATCACTTTTCTCTCTCTTTTTTTTTTTTTTTTTTTTTTTGTTTTTTTTTTTTTTTTTTTTTTTTTGAGAGGTTTTTGCTATGGGGCGTGTGCGCTCACCAGAAAGAGAGAGATAGATAGAAAGCGAGAAATCACCCCGCAGGGGGGATGGCCATGCCACAGTCCCTTCTCCATTCTCCTCTCGGGATCTTGGGCACACATGCACACGTGCCTGGAGTGAGTTTAAGCCACCAGGTTCTGGACTCGAACCGCGGTCGACTACATGGGAGTTCAGTGACATAACCCTTACGCCAGCTGCTGGTCCCTATCACTTTTCTCTTTCTCTGTCTCTCTGGAGAGCGTGTGTACCCCATAGTACCTGAACAGAAATGAAGTGTGGGACTCAGGGTGACACAGGAGTGACGTTGGCATCAGCACTTATATCTCACGTGTGTTTTCCCCCTTTCTGTTCATTGGCCAGGAAAAGAGAAACATTATCTGACCTCACAACTCCTATTTTAGTGCAGCCGAAGTTCCTGCTTTTTGAAACCTTGAATTAGGTCACTCGCTGTTTTCCCTTTTGAAAGCAGACCAGACCCAGCTGGTGTTTTTTGAGTTTTCTTATGGGTGAGGATTCTGAGGGTTGCCTGTCAGCAGTGTGCTTTCTTACCAGGGGTCGGGGCCTGTTGGGCGAGTTGCCGCCTTTTCCTTCTAGACAGACGCTTGTCTCACCCCCTCCACTGTCAGACCTTGGCCTTTGAGCCCTGGCACTGTGGACAGAACAGTATGGGAGCTCAGTGATGAGGCCGGAGGCTTTTCCTGTCTGCATGAATCTTGGCGCCACACTTGGGAGAAGGCCAGGCCCACTGTGGGCCAGGGTGGTGACTATTCTTTCCCCTTTTGCCCCGAGTCATCACAGAGCCTACAGATCCTCCGGGAATAGGTCTGCCCTCTTAAGCCCTGGTAACGTCTGCACACACGTGTGCTTTCCTGTCTTGCTGCCCCGGGGACCACAACTTGGGGGGACTCCACTGCTGTGGCGGAATCTGCCTTGCGCTCTCTAAGCTGAGCTGTGTCACTTCCCGCAGGGTGGTTCTGGAAGTTCAGGAAAGAGTCGTTTTTGCTATTCCCTGGCTTGCTCTAATGGGGAGATGTGCCTCCCGGGCATTGCTCCTTCTGAGAGAGTGGAGGAGTCCCTGTTGGACTCTGGGGACCCTTGCTCTGTGGGTTCCTCTGGGGCTGGCTCCCAGAGAGGTGCCATCGCCCCGGCCCTTTCAGAAACTGTAAAGTGGCAGCGTGCCACCCCGTCCCTCGACTGGCCCAGCGCTGGGCCGGTCCCACACTGCCCCATTGTCCTTTGCTTTCCGATGCACTCTTGTCTCGGTCTGATCCCAGAGCTGGTTCTCTACCAGCCCCTGTCCTCAAAGCCTGTGGGAGGTGATGGGGTGGACTCAGCTGGCACAGGCATGGGATGTGTGGCAGCTGCAACTGTGAGTGGCTTTGTTCTTACACCCCTGCTTTCGGGGCCCTGGTGCAGCCTGGCAGCAATGTTTGGAGAATAGGCGAGGCAGGGACACTGTGCCTGCCCCAGCCCCGCCCGCCCCCAGCTACTGTCCTCTTTTTCCGTTGACCATCCAGAGAGCCTTGTTGCCAGGGTCAGTGAGCTGGACTCATTGGTTGGTAGGGGCGGTGCTGTGCTCCCACCCGGCATGGCTTCTGGAGGGGACAAAGCCCCTGAGGGTCTAGTGGTAAGTCTGGCGGCACTCCCTCTGTCAGGAGAGTGTGGTGTGTACCCTCGGGCACCGTGTAGCTTGGCGTCCCTCTGCTCTCTCTCTTTGCAGCTCCGGAGTTGGGCTGCTCACAAACCAAGCTGTCTGTTTATATGGAGTGCCTGGAGGGCGTCTGCCATGAGTCTGTTGCTAACCACGCTAACCAGGAGAGCTGGCTGGTTGGGGAGAAGACACTAACCCTGTGAGTCTGACCTCGGCCAGCTACCCCGCCCGGGGTTCCACCAGCAGTGCCTCTGTCCTCCAGCCCTCCCCCAGCCTGGCCGCCTCCTCCCTTTAGCATCCACTATGCATCTCCTCTTCGCTCTTGTCCTTCCTGGGGGTTCCCTCTCTTTTTCCAGCCTCCTGGCTATGGGGAATGTGGCCCCTTCACATGCAGGAGAGGGAAGTGTCCAGTGCATGGCCACCCACCAGCCTGCTGCCTACCCCACTCCAGTCACCTTCCCTTAGCACCATGCTCCTCGGTTCTCCCTTAAAACGGACTTCGCCGAGGGTTCTGTCTCCCCTGTGCCCTACCACCATTCAGTTGGAGGCTCTCTCAGTGCCTGTGCTGCTTCTGTCTCTCATGCCAGAGAGACAGGAGGATCTCAAGTGGGCAGGACTTTTCTTCTAGACCAGGAGTTTCCTCCCTTAATCTAGAAGGGAAGTTGGGACAGTGCCCCAGTATCCTCACCCCAGGATAAGAACTTAGGATCAGGTGCAAAGTTCTTTTTGGGGTTGCGAAGGTTGCTGAAGACCTTGGCCTGGGGCTCTTGGGAATTTCCTGGGCAGAAGAGTGTAGCAGTTTAAACTGAGAGCTGGAGCCCAGAACCAGGTGTCTGTCTGAGATGTAGCTCCCACTGCTGACCCTTGTTCTGGGAGGTGCAATGGGTGGAGTTTGACCCCCCTCCACTCCCTCCCACCTCTGGAGCTTCAGGTAGACTTTAGCCCAGAAGAGTTGGGAAGGGCATTCCAACCAGAGAGGGGCAAGACCTGGTTTTGAACTCCACTTGTTTCTCACAAAAGGTCCTGGCCTCAGATTGGGAGACTGGTGAGTGCAGCCTTGTGGGGAGAAACTCCCTTCTCACTCCAGGTTTGGGAATGGGAAGGGATCCCAGGCTAACAGGAAGGCAATTGCCTAGTGTTCCCTGGTGTCCTGCACAGGGAGCCTGGTGTCCAGCCTCTGGAGACAGTGCTGTGTTCGCTGGTCTGGGTGGGGAACTTGAGACGGACACAGCTTGGCCTTCTTAGTGGGTTCTCTTCCCCTTGTGCTGGGAGAAGGAGAGGCCCTAATAGCATGGGGGGGGGGCGAGTGTGGGGGTGCTGCAGGGATGTTGAGGAACCCTGAATAAGGGATTAGCAAGCTCTGGAGGGTTTTTTGTTTTTTTGGCTTAGCTCTGAATAGGAGAGTAAAAGGGGCTGGAGTCGAGTCCTGGTTTAGGGTTTTAGGGTTACTCCTTCACTTTGTCCTTCCTTAGGAGAGGGCACGGGGTCTAGAGGGTGAGCAATGAAGGGGGGGAGTGAGTTGACCCTTCCTTTGCTGGGGAAGGGACTGTTTGGCTCACCATGGGTAGTCTTCAGTTCCTTTGTTCCTGGCTTGGATGAAAGGCCAGGTGGGTAGACGTGAGGTGTTTGCTCAGGTGGGGAGCCTGGCGAGCTCGCACAGTTCACCACTGCCACTTCTGAGTGCTCAGATCGTTCTGGGGCAGAATAATTCCCACCCTTTTTGGCTTTCATAATGCTGTCAGTCTGCTCAGTGTAGTGTAGGCAGGGGGCCAGGTCAGGGCTGCAGGCAGCTTGTCTCTAGAAGGTGAGGTACTTGCCCAGAAGGGTGGCGGGCATTGCTGTTGGAGGGGCAGCAGGGCTGGTCTGGGCACAGACGGGCATCTTCCAGCCTAGTCATCGGCCCAGAGCAGAACCTCTGCCCAGCCCCACCCGTGAGCTGTTGGCTGCCTGCCTGCCACGCGCCCAGGATTGCTGAGGGCTTTGCTCATGGATCTCAGGAACAGCTGCATGCCGGAAACTGGGGGCTGGTGGCAAGCAGGAGGGGCACCAGGGGGCTGTGCGGAGGAGGATCTGCTCAGCGTGCTGTTCTGCTGTTCACGGGCAGTCAAGGTGGAGAGGGGCTGTACACACTGGGGTGGGGGTCTTCACAGGCTGCTGGTCCCTGGGGAGCCTGCTGGTTCTCCTGCAGGGCTGGTCCTGCGGTGTGCTGGTTTGTGTTCTGGGGGCTTCAGTCAGAGGCAGAACCCAGCTTTCAGAGGCTCTAGAGGCAGACAGACTTGTGCAGTGTGAGTGTAGCCTGCCCCCGAAGGGGCACAGCTTCCGACAGGCTTGCAGAGTTCAGAGACTACATCCGAGGATTAGAGTTCAGGCCAGTTCCCCAGAGGGAGGCCCCAGGCCCCTGTGTGATCAGACATTCGTGTTTAGTGGTTGAGGAGGAGTTTTAGGAGTGCCTGTATTTGCTTTTATTATTTATTTATATCCTGTTGGGTTCCAGGGAACTAGGCAGCATATGACACAGCTGGCATATCCTGCCAGGCGCGGATATTAATGAGGAAGGGCCTTCAACCTGTACATTCTGAAACGCCCGGTTCTCTCATTGTGAAAGCAGTGGTGATTACTGACTTCCATCCGACCTTGGGCGGCTGAATTACAAAGAACTCTAATGAGTTCAGGGTGATGTGTGGGCCCTCCCTGATCACTGGCCGCTCCAGCTCCCTCACCTGTGTGATGCCCGAGCAGAAAGCCTCGTCGGCAGGTTCAGAACAAGCTGAGCCCTGATAAACTGGTGGGGTCATAATCCCTTCAGGGGCTTGATGTGGGGAGTAGGCAGACAGTGTGTCTCTCTTGGACAGGGCAGCAGATCCAGGGTGAGTGGAGAGGCGGAGTAAGGTCGTAGTGCAGAACTCAAAGAGCTGTCCTGTGGGAGGCCAGGAAACCTGTCTGTTGGATTTAGTCCTGGGCTGACGTGGAGTGGTGGCCCCTGTGCCCTCTGTCGGGAGAGAGCCAGATGCTTGGGCCTCGTTTACCCTTCTATGTCTTTGACTTAGCCTGGGCCTTGGCAGAGCCCAGGAAGGGCGGCAGAAGGCAGCAGGAAGGCACCCTTGGTTCCTGGGCTTGGACCTCTTGCAGTGGCCTCCCTTGGGTGTTGCTGAGAGCAGCAGCGAGGATAGTGGTTTGGAGAGAATCGGGATTCTGTAGAGGTTCCTCTCGTGCCACTGCATCTCCAGCAGCAGCGATCTCTGACCGTGGAGGAAGTGCCTGGTCACATGCACAGGCCCACCAAAGGGGGTGGGTAGAGTCCCACTTGGTTAAAGCGCGATGCCTGGCAAAGTTTTTGTTCCTTGAGGGAAGGTGCGGATTGTGCCTCATGTCTGTCTCTGTGCTCTGCTCGGCTGTCCCGTGGGTCCACAATTCAGCTTCACTGTGCGTGCTGCGTCACATTGCTAATGAAAGTAGACTTTGTTCTCTAAAGGCAGCTAATCGTGCCCCATGGCTGTAATCAGAGAGAAGGTATTTAATACAGGGCAGGCGGCAGCAGGCGGCCTGCACTGACTGGCAGATTGCAACATGGCAATTAGGAAGCTATCACCCCCACCCCCAGCAGATAGGAGGTAGAGGCTCTCCTTCAGACTGACTTCGAGTAAGTGAAGAAGGAATGTTATATATAGCAGAGGAAGGAGGCGGGGTTAGGTGGGTGGGGTAGGAGCATTGAGGGATGAGAGCCCCCTTCCCTTCCTGCTTCACTTTCATGGGGCAGGGAGGGGCTTCTCCTGCTCTGGCTGTCTCCCATAATAGCCTGCAGGTCCAGCCTGAGTCCCGGACCAGGTTGGGTCAGCCAGAGGTTTTCACTGGGCCTCAGCCTTTCTCCCAGGGCACAGCTGCCATTGCAGTACAGACCTGGCGTGTGATCTGTCGCCCCACATCCCGCATCATCTGCCCTTGTTTCCTTAAGGCTCAGATAGTTGGGGGTGCAGGTGGGATTCCCACTGTGGGTTTCCAGACCTTCCTCTAGAAGTGCCCTTTTCTTGGAGGTGTCCTGCAGCCAGCTCAGTGTCCAGAGGCCAAGAGGCCTCCGCAGCTTCTTGGTGGCCCCTTGCTTGCCTGGCCTGTGGCCCATCTGGAGGTCTGCAGCTGCTTTCCTGGGGACCCCCTCTCCTCAGCGTGGGATTGGGAGTCCTCAGGCAGAAACACTCCAAGGCAGCCAGGGGACCTTTGGTGGAGGAAGTAGGGCCGCTTGGAGGCTACCCCTCCTAGCCGAGGCTGCGCTCATGCTTTCCAGTGCATCCCTCTTCTCGTCTCCCAGCCTGTGGGCCACACTGTCCAGCGGCTTCTTACTTGCTGTCCACTGCCTGGCGTTGCTGCCCTCCCTGGGTCTGTTCTTACCTTCCCTGCAACGCTTCTAGTCGGGGACGGGGCTGCCAGGCCTGTTGTGTTCCTGGTCAGTACTAAAATTGTGGACTGAGTCTGGGGCCCTCGGCAGATTTCAGGAGTCGATGCTAGACCCAGGTGTCCTGGCACACCCTGAGATTTATGGACAGGGAGTGGCATAGGTTCCCTATCAGACTTGCACTGGGGAACACTGCAGGCTCCCTGTGGATTGTCTTTCCAGTGGCCATTGTCCTCTGCTCCCCAGTAGGGAGGGGTCTCCCCTCTCTGTGACCTTGATGCATTGTAAGTAGGCAGCTCGGCCTGGCAGAGTATCACCTCCCATCACCGCCCCTGCCCCCCATCCACATTGTTTTCCTGCTCAGTAGGCCAGATTATCTCTGCCATGGAAGCCTTGGAATAAATGTGTGCTTTAGGGCCAGGAAGTGGGCCGTGAGGTCAGGCGAGGCAGACTGAGCTGCAGGAACCAGGGCTGCGGCATGTGGAATGAGGCCGGTCTCCTTCCCGTAGAACATCGATGCCTGAGCGTGTCGGTGTCCTCCTTGCCTGCTTGCTGCTGGTGCAGGTCCTGCTACCCAGAGGACGGGCGGCTTTAGCAGAAGTGGGGGTAGGTTCGTGAAGAAAAGGCTGAGAGCAGAGGAGGGGGCACACGAGGAAGGCGTGCTGGGAGAAAGGTGCTGCTCAGCTGGCAGTGGGCATGGCGGGAAAGCAGCAGGGCCTGGGTTCTCTGCAGAGAAGGGGCGAAGGCAGAGGCCAGCTCTCTGGAAGCGCCCCTTGATTTTGTAGATCTTGACTACGTGTACCTCTTACTCTTATGTCAAGCCCTGTCCCATTTTCCAACTCATGTGCCCTCCCAACACACCCGCGCAGTCACACCAGGTATCAGAATCCAAGGACTTCTGGGCTTGGCAACAGTCTAGAGACTTTTCCTGGGCCTCTCCCTCAGGGCATAGGAACCCACACCCGGGGGCCCTTTGGAGGGGCAGCCCCAAGGAACCTGTGGGGGTGACTTGTTTGCTCCCCACACCTCAGGAATGTGCTGTCCTTTCAGGCCTGCCTGGATTCCTGTGCAAGGAGTCAGCCGACACAGCATGCTGCTTGTGCCCTGTGGGGACACGTTCTGCCTCCCGTCAAAGGGGTGGTGGCTGGCAGCTTGGCTCCTGCCTGCGCTGCCATGCCCCAGCTTCCCCCAGAACTCTGAGCCAGGGACCATGCTGCCCAGACAGAGGAGGGAGACCACTCCCGCTTGCCCGCCCTCCTACCCCTCACCATTCTTCCTTCCTCAGGCCATGTTGGAATGTGACAGGAGTCATGGCCAGGGCATGTCCCGACAGTGGGAACACATGCTTTGGCCCGCAAGGTCTCCCTCAGCCCCCAGCTCTGTTCAGGTGGGAAGAGACTGTGTCTTCTGCCCAGAAGGCCACCTAAGGTTACTGCCTCCGCTGAGCACCATGGCGGCGACTGCCCTCGTGCTGTAGCTCAGCTCATTACAGGTGGGGCCGGAAGGGTACAGGCAGATCTCAGATCCCAAGGATCTGGAGGACACTTCACGGGGCACCCAGGCCAGCCACCCCATGTAGAGGAAGAGCAGTTCATCCAGTGAGGAGTCACCGGGGCCTGCGGTGTTTGTCAGGAGCAGACTGAGCCTGGAGCCCGGGGCTCAGCACCCTGCACTTGGGCTCTCCACACCAGGGGTGTTCAGGGACTGCTGACACTGTGTGGGTAAATCGTTGTTGTGGCACCCCTCCCTCCTAGGCCTGGACATCTAAAAGTCTCTAGACTGTTGCCAAATGTCCCTGGGGGAAGAGGGTGAGCAGAATCTTCCCTGGTTGGCAACAATTGCTCTGAATTGCTGCCCTTTCGATTTTCTCCTGAATCTACCCCTCCTTGTGGCAGAATCTGTTGACCACCATTGTCCACAGAAGTAGTCTTGGTTCCCATCCCCTCCCCCCACCACCCTTCCCCTTTCTGTTTTAAATTAATTTGCCAGAGGGACATGCTCTGCTCACTGGAGAGAGGGAGGGAAAGTGAGAAAGCACTCCCTATGGGGGATGGTCACATTGCAACGCCTTCTCCATTTCTCCTCCTTTTGGGATTTTGGGCACATGCCCAGTGTATTTTTCAAGCCACTGGGTCCAGGACTCAAACCACACAGTTTGCTATGCAGGATCCATTCACCCCAGCTACCACGCCACTGGCTGGCTCTTTGAGCTTCCCCTTTTTTTCTCTCTCTCTTTTTTTTTTTTTTTTTTTGGAGAGGTTTTTTTGCTATAGGGCGCGTGCGCTCGCCAGACAGACAGAGACAGAGAGACAGAAAGCAAGAAATCACCCCCCAGGGGGGATGGTCACACCGCAATCCCTTCTCCTCCATTCTCCTCTCAGGATCTTGGGCACGCATGCACACGCGCCCGGCGTGAGTTTTAAGCCACCGGGTCCGGGACGCGAACCGTGGTTGACTACGTGGGAGTCCAGCGACATAGCCATTACGCTAACTGCTGGTCCCCGATTTCCCTTGAAAATGTTGGTTAGGAGCTGTCTTCCCAGCCTCTTCTCTGCCCATCTCCCTGTCTCTATCAGGCTTTTAAAAATGGTATTCTCAGGACCAACAGTTGGAGTAATGGCTACGTTGCTGCACTCCAACGTAGTTGACTGTGATTCCAGTCCTGGACCCAGTGGCTTAAACTCACGCTGGGCGCGTGTGCGTGCGTGCCCAAGATCCCAAGAGGAGAATGAAGGGATTGTGGCGTGGCCATCCCCCCCGGGGGGTGATTTCTCACTTTCAGTCTCTTTTTCTGGAGAGCATACGCGCCCTATAGCAAAAACCTCTCTAAAGAAGAAAAAAATGGTATTCTCATTTATAACTCATGTTTCCCAAATCTCTTAGTTGTTTCCAGACTCTCAAAGTCCCAGGAGATGAGCAGGACAGATGTGGAGTAGGGATTAGGGCAGGACTGACCCTATTTCAGAGTCAGGCGTGTGGCAAGCTGAGACTAGGAACCTGTCCCGACAGTGTGGCTGTGCACAGACACACACGTCTCAGCTGGGCCCGACAATGCTGTCATGAAGAAAGGCAGAAGCCCAGTGCTTCCAGTCATCTCTCACCCACATCGCTTTCTCCTCAGACCCGATTCATGGCCTTCCTGCCCAGCCCTCCCCGGGGGACCTTCCCGTCCCGGATGGGTCAGGCAGGCCTGTCGCACTGACAGATGGGCGGCTGACACCTGGTTTCCACTTTCTTCCCTTCTCTGGTTTCAGGAGCTGTTGGCTAGAGGAAGTGGAGGGGCTGTGGGATGCAGCGAGCCGAGGGCTAACTCCCGGACAGCGGAACAGAGAGAGCTGCCGACAAATAGACGGTATGTCCCTGAGGAGGCCTGCGCCCCCAACTCGGCTCTCTGGGGAGGCTGGCAGGTGTCATCGTGTAGTGGGAGCTGGTGAAAAGACAGTGGTGGAGGCCAGAGGGGCTTGGCTGTCAGTGTCCGTGGCAGATAGTTCGGAGACGCCCACCGAGGAGCCTGTGTTGGGTGGACATCCTCAGGCCCTTATCTTGTGGTTAAGATTTTTTTTTTCTTTTACTCTTTTTAAAAATTTTGCCAGAGGGCGAATGTACTTGCAGAAGTGAGACAGAGAGAACTTAAGAAATCTCTCCCCAGGGGACATGGTCACTCCACAGTCCCTTCTCCATTTCTCTATCCTTTTGGAATTTTTGGGCACACATGCATGTTAACCTGGTTTGTTTCTTAAGCTGCCAGATCTGGTCTTGAACTGCATAATTGGCCATATGGATCTAGTTGCCTTTCTTTTTTTAAAAAAAGAATGATTTAATTTTATTAATTATTATTATTATTATTTTAATTCACCAGAGAGAAAGTGAGACAGCAAGCTGCCTGATCCTGGAGTTGAACCGTGGTTGGCCATGCGGGAGTCCAGTGCTCAAACCACCACTCTGCCTGCTGACACAAATCAAGCTGCCTTAATCACTAGGTCACAGGCTAGCATTTTTTTTTTTTAAATAAGTTTTTATTTCTTTGTTTTTAATTTCCAGAGTTTGCATATACTTGCCAGAGAGAGAAGGTGCTCCACTGGGTTATGGTCGTGCTGCAATCCTTTCCCCATTTCTTTCTTCCATTAGGACCTTGGGCACGCACATCTACGTACCTGATGTATGTTTCTTCTTTTTTTTTTTGAGAGATTTTCACTGTAGGGCGCGTGCGCTCGCCAGACAGACAGAGAGAGACATAGAGACAGAAAGTGAGAAATCATCCCCCAGGGGGGATGGTCACGCTGCAATCCCTTCTCCTCCATTCTCCTCTCAGGATCTTGGGCACGCACGCACACGCGCCCGGCGTGAGTTTTAAGCCACCGGGTCTGGGATACGAACCGCGGTCGACTACGTGGGAGTCCAGCGACATAGCCATTACGCTAACTGCTGGTTCCCGTACCTGATGTATTTTTCAAGCTGCCAGAGCCAGGATTTGATATGGATGGGAACTGGGCTGGGGGAACAGGGAGGAATTACTGTGCTTTGTCCAGCTCGACACAGTGTTTTTACTGCGTCGTATCAGCCATGTTTGATCCGGCTCCCAACACAGCGCATCGCTCCTGCACCATAGTGTTACGCTCTAGAGCTGGCCTGGTTGTGTGTGTGTTTTTTCTAAGCTAACACTTATTGAACATTGCCTAAGTGCCAGACACAGTTATCGATGCTCTCTGTAAGCTTCACAACAACCCTATGAAATCCTTGCTAACCTATCCCCAATTTAGAGCTAAGGAAACTGATACATGGGAGGTAGTTCTTCCCTCGGAGGCCTTCCAAGCCCACGGAGGAGAGTGGTAGGCTGCTTTTTAGATTCATAAAGCATGGTCCACGCTTCCTTGTGCCTAGGCCCTGGGCCCTGCCTTTTCTACCCACCTGTTCCCCCACTGAACTCATGCCCCACCTTCTGGTGCTCCCCTGGGGACTGACATACCCAAGTCCAGACCTTCTAATGACCCCAGCAGTGGCTCAGGTCTTTTACCTTTTTTTTCTTCTTCTTTTTTTAAGACACAGTGTTGCTAGGTTTTGATCCTTCCACTTCAGCCTCTCGGATAGTTGGGATTACAGGTACATACCAGCACATCTAAGGAATTGAACCCAAGCCTCCCACATGACCTCATCCTAACATGTAGCAGCATTTAGCGTGCGCTACAGTGGCCGAGTCTTTCTCAGTCCAAAGGACTCTTGGGCACGTCCCTGAGCCTTGTCCATCCTTGTTTCTCCTCAGCTGGTGGAGGAGCCTGCACCTCCCAGAATGACCAGTGCAGCCCCTGCTAAGAAACCCTACCGTAAGGCACCACCGGAGCATCGGGAGCTGCGGCTGGAAGTTCCTGGATCCCGGCTCGAGCAGGAGGTCAGCAAGGCCAGAGCCCCGACTCTGACTGGCAGAGGGAGGCCCGTGAGGCTGGGTGTCTGGCTGACTTCTCTCACCCGGGCTTCCAGTTCCCTCAGTTGCAGGGAAGAGTATGGCTGTTGTTCTCCTAGCAAGAGGCAGGCTACCAGACTGTGTGGTCATAACCTCCTGGGGCTGAGCCTCCGGTCTTCCATGGAGGTTAAGACCACGCAGTCTGGTAGGCTGCCTCTTGCTAGGAGAACATCATCCTCTGGCCCCTTTGAGAGTTAGTAGGAGATGATATATCAGCTGTTTCCCAGCAGACCTGCTGCCCTTCGCTGTCCCCAGGAAGCTGGACCCTTCCTCCAGCTTTGCTCTGTTTGGCTAACATTTGTTAACTACGAACTATCTGCCAGGAGCTGTGGAGGCCCAGGCTCTGCTCTTAGGAGACCTAGAGTCAACTGCAAAACACACTCCAAATTGCAGGTTGGCTCTCTCTCTCAGTAAGCTTCTTGACAGGAGGAAGTGAGTGTTGCAGTGGTCTGCTCACGGCAATGTGGTCTCCCTGTGGTCGTGGATGGAGCACACTTAAAAGAACTTGAGGGTCAGTCAAAAGGTGCTGAGCATCATCAGACGGACCATGGCGCACTTCGGTCTGACTCAGGGCAGAAACGCCTTGCCTTGTGGGTTTTACTCCGGGAATGTTAAATCAAAACTCCACCCATTATGTTGCTACCCATTTGTTACTCTAGTTTCATAGATGAGGGAACGAAGGCTCGGCAAGGTAAAGGTCATATGCCTGTTTGTGGTAGAACAGGGTCAAATGCAGTTGTCTGTGACTCCAGGGCCCATAATCTGGGCCACCCACCTCATTCCTGCCCAGGACTGCGGGTCCAAAGCCGTCAGTTCTGTTGGGAGTAGGTCCCCTGACACTTTCTTCCTGCCCAAGTGTGTGCCTGCTCTGTTTTGTGGTTGGCTGAGCTCTGATTCTTGGGCCATGGTCATCCCTGGGGTTTGGGAGGATGAGGCAGGAGTCTAAAAGCAAGGTCTTGTCTTCATTTCTGTTAGGAGCGCTCGTTCCTCCAGAGCCTCTGTGGGTCCTGGTCTGCCCTAATCTTACCCCAGTGGGCCGAGGGGCTTTGGCAGAGCTCAACCCTTCTGTAGCTCAGCCTGACTTCTTTGTTTCTGTGGACCTTTGCCATGTCTGTGAGGAGACAGGGCCCAAGAGGCTGCTTTTACCCCAGAACCCCTTTGAAAATGGCTTTAGGATGAAGGGCGAAGATTGGACGGGTCCTTGACTCTTCAGCCGGCATAGGAAAGGGTAATCTAGGTCTCTCTGGGCATTGCTGGGTCGTCGCCATCTCTAGTGCGCTGTGTAGCCCTCTTCCGCTGTGAGAGTCTTGGGACTTCAGACATGGCCCTTTGCAGGGCTGTCTGGAGGCTGAGCATCATCAGATGGACCATCATCAGGTGGTCCAGAGCTCAGCCTCAAGCCTCTTTCTTTTTCCCAGGAACCCCTGACTGATGCGGAAAGGATGAAGTGAGTATCTGCTGCCTGAGATAATGCCCTGCTTAACCCTGTGCCTCTTAGCTCCAGGCTAGGCGGTCTGCAGCTGGGCTTTGCCTGGGATTACGGAGAGGCAAAGGTTGGGACTTGGGAGGAGGTTCGATGTTGCGGATAGTCTCCGAAAAAAGAGTGTTGTCCCATGGGGTCCAAGAGAACCTGGCATAAGGAGGTAGATGACTCTGAGAGGCCTGCTCTTGCTCAGGAGCCCTTCCCAGCTCTGGCTCCAGAGAAAACCGAGTGGCCCTCGTGTGCCACCTGTCTCTCTGCAGCTTTTCTATCAGCCACGTGAGGCCTCAGGAGAGGACAGCAGTGCTGGGCTGGATTTCTTAGCAATTAATAATGGAGCAGCCTGATTGTACAACGGGGAAACTGGAGCTGGAGGTTAGGTGTCCAGCTGGCTTAGCCGTAACCAGAGACAGGCGGGGAGCTGTTACCTTCACCTCTAATCTTTTGCCGTTCTTCTGTAATAGTTGTCCGCCCCCTCCTACCACCTCTGCCTCCCTGCACTTCCCAGCCCAGGCCCACCAGGCCTATGGAATGTGCTGCTGTGGCTGGGTCTCCAGGAACTTCCCTGTTCCCAGCTGCCTTCCTCATGTCATCCCTATTCCTTTCTTTCTGGGCCCAACCTGGAGCTCCAGGGCTGGCCCGTCTATCTCTGATGCTCCTCTGCCACTTGCCCCAACCCTGCCAGGCTCTTGCAGCAGGAGAATGAAGAACTTCGCCGACGCCTGGCCTCAGCCACCAGACGCACTGAAGCCTTGGAGCGTGAGCTGGAAATTGGGCAGGACTGCCTGGAGCTGGAGCTGGGCCAGAGCCGTGAGGAGCTGGACAAGTTTAAAGACAAGTTCCGCAGGTGTGAGAACGAGGGGCCACATGTATGCACACATCTCCCCACTCATAGGGGGTTAGCTGAAGGAGGCCTCAGAGCTCCTCTGATTCTGGCCAAGACACTAAAGTTCTGGGAGGAGAGTGATTTGCCCAAAGTCCTGTATCGAGGGCGCTGGCAGGGTCTGAAGAAGAGGATCTTGACCCAGGGGCGTGCCTTGTACCCCTCTGCAGGCTGCAGAACAGCTACACAGCGTCCCAGCGCACCAACCAGGAACTGGAGGACAAGTTGCACACGCTGGTATGAGAGGCCAGGAGGGTACCATGCTCCTGGCACAGCAGGGACCGAGGGCTGCCAGGGGATGCCATTCCACTCCGGGGCTGGGGAGGAGGCGGGGGCCGGGCT